CGCGTCCACCATAGTATTTGAATGTAAACCTGCTGCTCCTGACGCTGAAATCGCGTTCGGTGTGAACGCACCATTACTCTCTCAAAAAGTTAAGACTGCTCCAGAGGACTGTTAAGTGGTTAAGAGTTGCCACTAGGGGTCTGAGATGGACTGGGAAAACTGATCACAGCTGTCGTCCTCCCCARCTGAGTGTTATTCTCAATTATAATGTACAGAGGAACCAAATTAAGGTGTGGGAAACAGGTTTAAAGAAAGGAGAAAAAACTATTACTAGTGCGCATCATCTTGGACAATCTAAAGGCCTTTATGTCAACCCCAGCTCACATAATTGAGACAATTTAGAGTTACCAGTTAACCTGTAAGATGGTTTTACTCTGTGGGAGGAAACTAGAGTTTCTAGCCTCTAGCCACATGTGGGCCATATGTGCACTGGGAACATGTGCACATGTAAACACTCAGAAAGGCCTCAGCCAGGAGGTGAACCTGCAACCTGGTTTTGAAAAGTCCTAAATTTAACAGTAGAACTAGCAGAAACACTGGTGTAATACATGTAATACTTGCATGGGTTCTTCAGCAGAGTACCTGCTTAATAGTATGTTTTCTGTCTGTAGTCTTGGGTCAGTGCGGTGTAGGTGCTTTCAGTAAAATGAAGTCTGTTTGAAAACTGTGCTTTCTGTGCTTTTTCAAGGCRGTATTCATCAACCTGTCCTCTTGTTTCTTTTTCCTACCCAAGTTTCTTCCACCCCAGGGTCCAGGGTTAAAGCCACCTTTTCAGAATGCTCCGTTTGGACCTGGCTCCGCCCCACTGTTCCACACGCCTCAGCAGCCATCTCAGGACTGCAACGACTCACTGACGACCAAAATGGGCTTCTCTGACTGGTCAGCTCCGTACGACTCAACGCAGGGGGGAAGTCGGTTACCCAATCATCACACTAGCACTCAGTCTGGTCCCTCTCCGTCTCCCTCTTCATCATCAGATGGAGATGAACCAAGTGACAACAACCCAAAGTAAAGCACCAGTTTCACATTTTACATGCTTAACATAAATGAGAACCAGAGCATTTACTGAAGTATGAAACATGTTGCATGTTGGCATTAAGGCTGGGCGGTATGACCTCAGATTCATATCACGGTATAAATTGGATCCCTTCACGGTAACAGTATATATCGTGGTAGAAAATTATCATAAAAAGCAAAGATAATGTAATTTTTAGGGCATTTATTTTGCAGAAAGCTGTAATCATAATCAAAGCCAGTATTTTTGCTGTAGTGCAGATGAACATAACAGAAGAATGTTTTATATATATACATATTGTAAAACCGTTTCAACAACAAACAAAAACATTTTTCAAATTTTCAACAATATCAAAATAAAGTGGATGTTATAACCAGTACTTCAAGTAAAATTAGTCATTTAGACATAAAAAAAAATTCAATGTTGCCTAAAATACTATAATGTGACAGGAACTTAAGCTGCACATAGTCCTGTCATAAAACAATTTCAGATAACTGGAATGTAAATGTGGTGATGCCAAATAAATGTAACATCTGCCTGCCATATAATGAGCTTCTGCCTGTTGAACTGACCCACTGCTGCTCTGCTGCGCTGTCGTCTTTATCATCAGAGCAGACGCAGACTTTAGGCTACATTAGCAAGATGGATTTATGTCTGAATGAACCTCCACGTCTTTTTTTTGTCACCTCTGGGTAACAATACATAAAAAAAAAAAAAAAAAAAAAAACAAGTTTTTTCTCTGACAACTTTGGTGTGAAAAAAACTACGGCTTCGCTCTGCGCGACATGAAGTGGGAGAGAGGGAGGGAGGAAATGATCCCGCATCCCGCGACACGACGTAACTTTTCTACAGCAGGAGGGGGAAATTTTGAGGATTTATTCTGTCTATATGCGTTTTAAAACACTGTATTTCTTCATTATATTTGGAACTCCTCCTGCTCAGTTGTCTC